CCCGTGACCCTATTCAGGTGACTTAACCTGTGGAGCTTCCAATTGAAGGAGAACCTTCTGCGAATGACGAGGACGATGTAAAGGAGGAACAATCTGATTCAAGTAGCGAAGCACCGCGGAGCTACCCCAATGACTCTTCTGAGCGGGGAGATCAGCGTGGCTGTCTAAGTGTACGTGAAGCGGGCATTGTGAAGCGAACTGATAGTATTAATTACAAAACACGATACTATATTTCATATAACATTCATTTGGTAAGGCCTAACAACTGGAATTTAACCAGACCATATCCCCAGGTCCTACCAGTATACGACCGCACTAATAGTTTATCGACAAGACTTCAGATGGCGAATGCCAATTAAAAAGTCCTTTTTACACAAATAGCTTATGCATTTCAAGCAAAATGTTAGTATCGATATCTGTAACTGCTTATAATCTTCCCGTCCAGCGTCGGTTTGATGTATACCTGTTTATGCCGCGAAATTACCCCAACCGAGTGAGTACTTGAATGGCAGCTCTCTCCCAACAACTGAAAAAAAATACAATAATATACACGTACTATTCGATGGTAGCACCTCACGCGTACAGCACTGCCTACAATTCATGTTGCTTTGCGATATGTGTTACCACCAAGTTTACCACTTTGGTTCTATTCCATGAGTCACCCAGATACAAATTCCGTGTTATTTCGAGGCCTCTGTGCTAAACAGGCTATAATCCATATCGTACTTAAGCGTAATTTCTCAACCATTGTGTTTTCCCCATTTGCGCGATTGCTGCGCGGGAGGTAATTTCGAGTAGAACGCACAATATTCGAACGCAAGTGTATTCCGCATTGCAGCAGCACCTACATAATCAATTAAATTCAATTGTATGGCAATAACTGGAGTGCATCGCCATCGACTCCTTTTTATGCTTTCATGTGGTCAACTTTAAGGTATCTCTCTTTTGCTTCGGCCTTCTTTTCTAATTTGGGGGGATTGATTGCGTTAACCAATAGTGACGTGAAAGATTGTGGATTACACGGCGTTGGAGCCTGTTCCAGACGAAATCGGTGGTACAACTCGTGCGTGAGATCTCCAAATCCAACCAAATCCATAGTAGTTGAAGTCTTGACGTAACTACAGATGTATCATCGGCATTAGCGTACCTCACAAAATAAATGCTAACTGTTTTCACGTGCTTTTTTCGGGTTAGAGAATTTTCCTTAACTCAAAACTAGCAGATTTCATATTTTCGAAACCAAAACTATATATTTATGATGAGATTAGATAACAGTCACAAAAGTCTATCATTGCGTATTATGCACAGTTTTGTGAAAAATCGAGTTAAACACAAATTCGTAATAATTATGTTGAAAAAAAGGATTTATAGAATGGAGACGCTAATATTTCGCATTTCACTTGTTATTTCTAATAAATCTTGATCACAGTGGCAAATCAATAGGTCAAAGTTGAGACAAGTACAATCTGACGATAGCATAAAGCTCCAGGTCAGGGCTTTCACCGGAATTAATTACTACGCCGGTGTATCCTTAACCCTTTCGTGGTCAATGGGGGCATTTTGCCCCCTTTGGAGGGCGTATCCTTGAGTATCACTCCTGTCACCCACGAATGGGGGCAAAATGCCCCCTTTCATTATTTTTTGTGTGTTGGACGAGGAGGATTCGCCCTTTCTACTTGACTACAAGGGTTTGCAGAAGATTTGCTCTAGTACCGTAGTTTATGAAAGGGGGCAAAATGCCCCTTTTGATGACCTAATGACTTGACCTTCTAAACTATAATATAGTCATGTCAAAAGTACCCGTTCGCGAAAGGGTTAATAAGCCTGCCAATTTCCGCGCTCGCCACACTATCAGCCTGAAATCGCTTCCCTACTACCCACTGCAGCATTTATAGCAATTGGATGAAGTATAAACCAGTGTCTGCAGTGTACAGCGGAGTTAAACTGTCATCCATACCAGGCTATTCGAAATGTATGTTTAATGAATAATTCAATGTCTAATCGATAAAATACGATATTATTGTGAATATCTGATTACTACTCCTGCGAATTAGTTGCACTCAAATCGACACAGTTAGATCCGAAATTAGCGCGGTTTAGACTAATTATACACATTTATTGCAAAAACGCAATTGTTCGCTGCATATAGTGTTGTACCGTGTATATCACAGATATCCAAGCTACATCTATAATTCGCGAAAATACTACTTTTTGCGGTCGTGGCCTCCGTGCTTTTAGCCCAGGAAGAGCACAGGATGTCAGTGCAGACCCGCGCGCCAGTGACCATTGACCTGACGGCTGACTGACACGGACGGCGCGGCGGACGCCAAGTGGCCAACAACCAGACAGTGACGGAGTTAGTGACGGGAAGGACTAAAGGTACAGGCGAAGAGAGAGAGAGACGTTAAAGCTGCGAGCAGTCGGGTAGATTTCGACTACCGAAGATCGCAAGAAGGAGAAGACACGGAAACAAGACTAGAGGAGAATACTGACGCTAGGGTGGGCTACATTGGATTGGCGATGAGCGGCTCTCGCGCGACGAAAAAGGGGAGTCCGGCGTGGAGAGCCCCGTGGGAAGATCAAGTCGTAGAGTAGGTAGTAGGTTACACAGGGGAGCTAAGCTAAGAGAGCGCTATGTGTGCGGCTGGCCACATACCCCTCAGTTGCAATTTGGACAGGATCGGTTCAGATAAAGCAGCTAACAAAGACCTACTACGCGTGGACCCTTCACAACAGCAAGAAGGAGGTGTTTAATCGTTGGTGTACAATACGGGCCGGCGTGCGGCAGGGTGAGTAGAGCAACGTAAGGACTGGGACATGAAGCGTTAAAATGAGAATGAGATGCAAAGAGCGGCTGGGGTCCGTGGGTAGCACCCGCGGAGGGGGAAGGGGGGGGGGTTGGGTTCCGTTCTTGAGATGTCTTGGCCGTGTGAGGCGTTGGGCCAGGCGTGTGCGTGTATACATCGTACACATTGGAGGGCCCATGTCCAAGCTATGTGTATTGTGGTTCACGCGCACGACGACGGGTCCACAGACCAACCCGAGGTTGCCAGAAGTATCCTCTCCCATGCCGGCTTTGTTGGGGTTGACGAACTGTTGAATTACCCGCCCTAGTTAATGGCCAGTGCTGACGACACCGTTCTCTAGCGGAAGTGTTCTTGTACCGCCTGTTCCCCTCTAGTTGGACTTTGCAGCGGAGGAGAAAGTCTAGCCGGCAAGACGAAAGAGACAACTTACAACCGCCTAAGCATTTGCTAAGTAACCCTCTCGTCATCGTGGAGATGGTTTTACCACTGAATAAGTCGAACGAGGGGTGGCTGAGAGTACATGAGGTGCGAATACCGATAAACCGTATTCAAGCTCAAATCCGAATTAGTATCTACATGCAAACCGATCTCTTAGGCCGACGTAATCGAACGATTTCTAAACTGGAAAGTGAAACAATCGATCCCTCCTGATGGAAAGTACAACGTAGATCGAGTTCAAGTACTTCAGGGAATTGAGGTAGTTGTGTCGGATTTAAGCGAAGACCAAACTAAAGTTGTAAGGCGGAGTGCATGCAAAAAAAAAAAAAAAACTCGGTCAAGGCCCACGTACAGCAGCCACATAACGTGTTCAAGAGCACGTCGTCCGACTTAAGGATAACGGTTGGTATAGTGCGCTGCTTCAGAAACAATACGTGGGAGATTAAATATAGGGCTTTAGGTACGGGGTTGGCATGTTGGTTGTTGCTGACACTTATTTCCTTTATCGTTCCCCCTCTTCTACCTTTGTCGACCATGGAGTGCCTGTGGGGCACTTATTCTCTCGTCAGTATGCAGGTGGCTGGCTGTAGCGCGCCGGAGCACGCTGTTTGCGCAAAACCCGCGCAAAGGCAAACCGTTTGCACTACTCTTGATGTCCTTGCGGCGTGACTGAAAAAAAAAGATGTCTTGTTACTTGGCTCTTGTATTTGCAGATCATTTCATTAACGCTGAGAGTGAAATCATTTACTGCATTGATGTAGTACGTCTCGGAACACTACGAAGGAAACTGGCGCGTCCGGGCAAACTAAAACTCTGTTCTTGGCTCAAGGCTAGATGTGCAAGTGATCTCAGCGGCCAATCTTTTGGCCGTGGTGACTTTCTAGTCTATGTCCTATTGTTACTAATTTTGCCGGCTTGATTATGTCAATCAGTCGACATCACCCGGTGAATGGGCTAGCCTTGGTCTGTTACCCTCCACTACAATTGAGTAAGTATGTACTCGCTCACATTTTCGTGATTTTGACCATTGAGAATATTGTTATTTAGCTACCAAAGCTTAACACAAATAGGAGTTTCACGAAATAATTCGATTGTTTTTTTAACGTTAAGATAACAGCAGTTCGGAATTGTGCCATAGCATTTATTTTGTGAGGTATAGTATTAGTTTTCCGAGTGGAAATATTGAATATGAAAGGAAAGTAAAAAAAATTATTCGCATAACCCTTAGATTCTTTAATCCGTATACTAGTCATATAAGCGTATTTTCATTTGATATAATATTTGGCAACAATCACTTCGATTCCAAGAGTCACGCGCACCTGTTAATTCCAAATGGCTCGGTCCCAATCGTACTTAAAAGAGTCAATAGGCAACCTAAGTCTTTTTCCGATTTGAGCGGTTGTGTGCGAGTTTCAATCAAAGAACCTCGCACGGAAATTTTGAGTAGAACGCACAATTACATTCATGACGCTTACTTAAAAACCTGAATGAGGTTCTATATTTGATTTGACTTTGACCAAAACCGGAGTCGGTACTACAACTTGGTTACAGTACGCCAACAAACCGATCGCAGCAACACAAGGCATGCTTGTGATGCTAGGTAATTTTTTATCGTGATATATTTTACTCAGAAAATTTCAATAGCAAAAAAGAAGAAAAGTTACAAGATCTTTTTCTGCTAAGTTGGAAACAAATTAAGTACGAAGCGTACGGGCCTCTCATTTCGTTTCGTATCGGCGGAGGGAAAAGAGCAGGATGACGAAGCAGGGAGCGCGCGAACCTGCACGCCCAGCACAAGCTACAGGTAGGCTAAAGCCGCCAAAAAGACCGGTGACGTTCTACCAGCACTTGTACTAACTTACTATGCTGTGGTTTCTCTGTATAGGTCACTGGTTTTGCAAGAGGAATCCTGAGGACTACGTTCGATCTGTTCACGGATTTACCCGTGACCCTTCCAGCGATGAAGATTACGTTGATGACCCTTTTACGACGATAGACGATGTAGCGAATGAAGAGGCCGACATGGAGAGCGACGAGGAGATTGCTGACGCCGCCGTGCCTGTAGACGATAAGAACGCGACTCCAGGCAAGGAAGTCGTGAATATGGCGTAGAACGAAGTGGATGTGGAGGCAAAGGCGCGCCATCGGCTGTGGCGGACCCGGGACGTGGTGACGCGGCATTGGGCACGCGAGGTGAATTTGGCACGACTATCGCCGCGACCAGCACGAGTGGAGGTTAGGACTCAACGGCAAATATCTATATTGAGTTGCTTATATTATTGCTAGTCTTCTTTTGTAGTGACTGAGCAGTGCGTGGACGCGGGTGTTAGTGCTGCAACCACGGTAAAGGACGACGCTCCAGAGTCAGTGGCAGACGACAGCAATGATAGTGCGGATCCGGGGACGCACGAATCAAATGTGGACGAAGGTGACGCTGTTGTGGACTCGAATGTGGACGAAGATGACGCGAATGTTGAAGATGGTGACGCGGTTGTGGACTCCAATGTGGACGAGGGTCACGATGAAAATGCACTGAATGAGGGTGGTGAAACGGCTAGCGGTGTGGGTATGTTACGTTATTATGTTGCTGGATTATTTGATTATGTTACTTATTTTTTATTTCACAGGAGATTTTATCCGTGAGTATGTTCACGCCGCTCGGACCGATGCTGAGGAAGAGCGTGATAAACGGAAGAAGCGACCTGAGTCGCAGCGTAGAAAACATGCCCCGAATTAAGAAGCTGGAGAGACATCGGGGATGGGTGTACGTTTAAATGTGCATGGACCGACCTCACAAACCGCGTTTGTACTGCGACATTGGTGAAGCACCTCAGAAAGCGACGGCAAACAAAAACGTTCGAAGCTCGTGATGGGAGAGTGAAGGCACGTTAAACTCAAGCCAGGTTTGCCGAAGAAGTCGTTCAAGAGCTGGGAAGAGTTTGAGCAAGTGCTTTACCTTGACGAGGCCAAGCACTTCCTCCATTTCCGCGTCCAGAGCTCCGAAACCGGAGCCAAGAACAACAGGTGCAAAGTTACGGTGGTGGAGAAAGAGATGAGTGTTACTAACATGTTAAAGGCTAATGTGTTACTCTCTATGTTGCTTGTTTTGTTGTACTAGTCATGCTAATGCAACACGCATACCAGAGCGCTTTTCGCACAGTTTCAAGCGTATGTGGTGCACACATGGCTCAACGCAATCCTCCCGCAGCGAGGGTCTCCGCTTTTGTGCGTTGAGGTAGACTGGATGTGAGGCGAGCTTCCTGGTACGGTGTGTCAAGGTTGTCAAACAGAGTATTGCTACATGGGAGGTGCAAGTGGACTCGGACACTGATGTAAGATGTTATTTCTCGATTGTTGCAAAACTATCTTATCATTTGTATTCATATTTTCAGATATCTACGCACAACCACGAAACAAACAAGCTCATTTTCGACGCGTATCGTGGAGCAAAGTTCATCTCGATTCCGGCCCATTTTCGCCGAGAGCTTGGGCTCTATGACGGATATGAAGACGAACTCTTCGGATATCTACCGATATCTGTCGAAGCAGCTTGGTCGGTCCCAGTGATGAGTTTTTTTTTTTGCTGCAGTTGTTTTTGCTTTCATACCTACTAACATTCATTTAATTTATTAATCACTTATTTTTATAAATGGTACGCTATATTTTTTTTTATCTCCCCAACAAGCAAGAAATATTCTTAAGCAAGTACTGGGAAGTACGGCACTTGAGAGGGCGAAAACTATTTTGGATGCGTTTACAGATGGAAATGCTGGCAACGACGTTCTTTTCGTTCAGGACCAAATGAATATTACGTACGTGGTTGCTATGCAAACATCAATCCAAAAGAAGTGTTTCTTCCAGTGGGACAACACTATGGTAATGGATTGGACTCACGTATCATCTGGTAATATCACTGATAATGATTGACATTCTCCCTTTGTTGAAAGGCATAGTATTTAATGTTTGGAGCTCTTTTATTGTGTTTCACAGGTAGTCTCGTCGTAACGACGGCAACGGGGAGAGGAATCAACGTTATTGATTTCCTAGCACTCGACCAAAAGTCTGTCACAATGGAAAATATTGTGGAGTTCTTCAAGCGAAAAACCCGGCTTGGAGGTCGATTTAGGCGATCATCATCAATAAAGATTTTGTGGAATGGCGGGTGTTGAATAAGGCGTTTCCAGACGCCAAGGTCCTTCTTTGCCAGTTTCATGCACTGACGTATTAAAAGTCTGCAAGCGCGACAAGTTTAACATGAAGGTGACGGAAAGGGACGCAATGGAATCTGCATTTGCCAAACTCATCAATTGGTGCGTGCTTAGTTGTTAATGCATTATGTTAGTTGTTGTGTCGGTGACATGCTGTGTTGTTTGTTGCGTTGGATAGAGTAAATCAAAGCCAACGTTTGATTCCGAGGTTGACACCTTCAAACACACGTGCAAGGCGCAATGTCCTGTGCTACCGACGTATTTTGAGGATAACTGGAAACCTGGGAACCTGTGCTGACATGTGGGTTGCGCACGCAAGGGGAAGGTACTTCGCAGCTGGAAATACCACTACGAACCGAATTGAATCCAATTGGAATCAACTGAAGCTTCTCCTCGGGAAACGTCCTCGGCTCGCCGCAACAATTGATGGGCTTTTAGCTCATCAAGCCACAATTACCTGACATTTGGTCACAGCAATGCACACAAATTCAGGAAAATCGCGACACCCCGACGTCGTTCCCGGGTTTCTATAGCTTGTGGCCCCTCGTTTGAGCGACTCGATGCTTGCTAAAGTTCGATCGCAATAGGATTATTACATGGCTGCTTTGCCTCATTCAACCTGTTTGAAATGTGGATCCGAATGGGTGAATGGGAAGTGAAAACAAGTGATTACGTGCATCAATGCAACGACTTTCAGTGGTCGTGTTCATGTTTGTTTTATTGCAGCTACAATCTTCCCTGTCAGCATTTGATTATAAGTGCATCGGATCGAAAGTCTTCCAATATCAAGCATTCCCCGACGTTGAGATATGATGAACATGTCCAACATGTTCCAAGACTTTAGAGAAGGTATGGCAATGCTCCAGGCTGTTCAAGATACGATACGAATCGCAAGTAAGTCATTCACATACATACCTACACACACGCAACCTTCAGACTCTTACAAATTGCCTGAAACAACACAGCCGTCTGAAGTAACACATGGTGCCACACAATATGCAACACAACGTACAGCATTGAGTGCTCCATCAGCATCAACCATGCATGAGGTAAGTACCGAAGCCGCGTGACCTCGTCGACGTGCACCACGTGTGATTTACGTGAGAATGAGACGCCGTGAGCGTGCAAATATGGTGGTGGTGTCATCTGAAGAGAAGTATTGCTACGCTACAGCAGTATTTGGACCCGTTATTGACTATCTCGCAGTGATGTCAAGCCGAGCGTTCTACGCAGCATTACAGTTGTGGAGAGAAATTATTCGGAATGGTTTTGCACAGCCAGGGGTATACTCGTCGGATTCTACGACGGTTCCTGCTGAAGACTTAGGGTCAGGTGATGATGTCGATGGCGGTTTAGACAGTGATACTGTCTCTGAGATTAAGCCGGCAGACATGATTGATACAATAGGGATGATCAGAGATATGGAACAAAGTGAGCACGTCTGATCGGTTCTAAAGCAAACGCCCAACACAACCAGCAACACAGTCCTGATGTTAAGTTGAACTCCCATTTAAGTGGCTAGACCTCCTGTCCTACCATCAAAACGCTGACGCAGACTTGGGAACCCAGATCGGAACCGATCGAGACGGACTCGGCACTGCCTAAGCCAAAGAACCTTGCGACAAAGCCGTCGTGAAGCCAAAGAATTTTTTGATGGAGGCCGCCGTGAAGCCAAAGAATGACAAAATCGAAGTTCTACAGCTATTCAAGGCCAAACCTCGACACAACCAGCGCAAGACATTAAAACAGGCACGTATGCAAGTGGAGAAAAAAAAACACAAACGTTAGCGGCAATTAAACTACCAGACAAGAAGGTATTTGTTCTATCACGGGTTTTAGGGTGGGTCTACAACACTAGTGACGTGGAACAAGTTATGGAAGTACTGACGAATTACCCTATTATCATAACCGATGACTTCATGGTAGCCCGAGCAGCACGCAGCCGACGCTCCTACGTACACAGTGAAGAGTTCGATTACAACTTGTCGTCCCCAAGCACTTGGTGACAAAGTTGAAGGCAGTTGTAGAGGAAGAAAAGAGCAAGAGACCCAAGCCGACGTACTTCGCCAACAACTCAAATTCGGAACACTCTGAAGGCTCGACGAAAAAGAACGTTGCTTTTTTCTCGGGTGGATCTCCAAAGTTCGTGCTGTGTTGCTCTTTGATATGCATAATGTTGTTTGCAATGTTGCTCAGGTTTGGGTTGCTTCCAATGCTGTTATATACACTCACTAGTATTTTGTTACGCCAATGCATAGTGTGCTGTTTACAGGATGAATGAGTTCTACAAAGTTTGTGCAAAGTGTGAAGCCTGGTTTGACGATATGGTGTGGCTTCTATTTACTAATCGGGCGAACATGCTACATGCACCGAAGCTATTTGACGAAGAGACAAACTCAGATCAATTGTTACCTTCGGAGGCGGGGGCAAAAAACGAAGAACTGGCCAATGACACTACAAATATTCTACGTGGTATCTGTCTGGCCTCTGAATTCAGACTAACTAGTGGTGAATGCTCGATCAAGATGGATAATATGGTGGGGAGTTTTGCTCGGGGTAGAGCGCTTAACGACCTCATCATTGATTTCTGCATTTGCTTCATCTGCGCTGGGTGGCTGCTAGTCTATGAGTTCGTTCGCGCCAACTATGGGATGCTCTAAACCACGGATATCGACATTTCACTAGGTTGTTCTACCCGTTCATCTGAGTGGTTTTAACTGGGGAATCATCATCACTAGACTTGCTTATAACCGAGAACAGCCTTGCATCATGCCATATTACTACGATCCGTTGTGCGGCAAAGACTATCGATCTACAATGGAAGATATCTATCTGACAACTGTAGCTACATTTTTGCAAGACTGGCACGACAAAACCATGCCAAATATGGATTTCCCTGTTGTGGCAAATGTGTGTGACTGGACGCCCCTGAACAACCGGACGGAACTTTTGCGGTGTGATGTGCATCGCACCGGCATACGCCATGTTAAAGTACAACTTTCGTTTGGCATCAGTTGCTATTACGGGAGGCGAGATTTCTATCATGCATCTTCGTATCATGTGGGTCATCCTGACGCAGTAGAGGCAACTGGTTAAAGTTGTTTGAAGCATTCAAGATATATAAAAAAAAATAGCCAAGAACAATCTTGAATTATGATCGCCTTTGACTAGCCAAATACTTCTTCCTTTTGCATCCAACGCGTTTGTCGCTCACAATGGACGTTCCAGCTGTATGCTGCAGCGCTGTTCGAGTGCCACATCATTCGACGGACGTAGCCAACGTTGTGTGTGGAGGCTCCAACAGTTGTGGCCAGGCGATTAGCAGCGTCCTTTTCGTGGGCCAGAATGACCGCAATCTCCTCATGTGTATTCATCAGCTTATTAGAATATTTGAACACTCGCTTGAGGTTAACTTCCAAACGCTCAATTTGCTGAAGTTGGGAACGCAGTAGCTCCTCGCAAATACGCTCCTTGTAGTGCTGACTGGCTTGGTGGTCTTCATTTGTAATAAAAGCCACCGTATCGCGCGTCTTAGAACCGGAGGAAGCGCTCATTAATAGCCTGTTCTAGCTGCTTTCTTTTGTCTGTTCGTCTTTGCTCCTACCTTGTGATGGCCGACTCCTCCAGGCGTGAATTTTGTCGTGATGGCTACATGGTAACTTTGGAATAAAAGTAATCTATTCACGCTCCAAAAAGTATTTTACGGCACTGTGTTGTTTCTAGTGTCAAAAGGGCTGATGTGTTGCTGGAAGACCTGTCGTCTTGTCGAAATTATGTTTCCGTAACGCTACGTGCGCGTGGTGTACATGCTGTGGCGGTCTATGTGAAAGCAGCGTCGGGCCCAAAACGAAGGGTGGCATGAAGAGTGAAAGAGCAAAAGAAGCTTCCCGTCCGGGAATTGAACTCGGGTCACCCGTGTGTCAGGCGGGTATACCAACCACTATACTAACGAGAATCTGTACAACAACTCGTAACGTCCATAACTCGTTGTCGCACTTGGACTAATTTTTACGGTACGTCTCTACAGTCAAAAGGCGACCTAGAGAGCCACCTTGTAATATATCACCTCTCATCACTGAAAAGTCGAATTTTGTCTTGTCGCACTTAAGACTGCCTAATCACGAAAGGAAACCCTGTTGAACGCAGATATATCGTTGTGGCTCTCTAAGGCGCCAATGTATTTTGTCCTAATAGTTTGCGGATAGGTCAACCGACCAGCTATGTAACACCAGTTTAACCCTTTCGCGGTCAATGGGGGCAAAATGCCCGCTTTGAGTGGTCTTTCAAAAGAGTGAAACTACCACGAAAAGCGGGCATTTTGCATCGTTTGAGATTTCTATACACCTACTTTTGTAACTACCAATCATATCGCTTCTCAGTATTTGCTGAAGGGACAGCTCGGCGATTTAAACAAGGAATTATGCTTCAAGTAGCAAATTAACATCGTCCCTGTACCGAGCTGTGTCGCAGATTCGATAACTATTGGCTCCAGATTGTCGGTAAAATGTATAGTAAAATGAAGTAAATCTGATCAGTCGGGGTGTGTGTGAAGATGAGGACGACGTTCACAGTCGCCCAAGATAGGAAGCTGGTGCAGTTAGCAGTTGTATATGAGCGAGGGGGGACGCGAATATCGTGGTCTGATGTGCGTCGCAGGATGCGGACAAACCAACATACCACCACTGAGCTAAGGATGCGGCTGCACGCACTCAAGAGGACCCACGGTCCTGTTCTTGCCGACTTTCCTGCGTGTTTCTTGTCCACAGGTCAAATAGTCAACACAGCGACGCCTCGTGCAGATACTAGTGTGCTCGCGCGCAGGCGACAACGCCGTCAAGTGGTGCAGTGCCTGGTCCAAGTGGCGCAGTGCCTTGCTCTGGTGGTAGTGCCGCGTCGACGACAAGTGGAGCAGTACCTCGCGCAGATGCGACCGGCGCTCATTTGGAAAGACAAGTAGCGCGGCTCCTGTAGCAGATTCGATAGATGAAGCAGCTCCTGATACAGGAAGTGATGGATTGCGTTTGCTGTCAGATGGTGAAGGAGATGACGACAGATCACCAGCGTCGTCGTTGACAGAGTCCAGTATTGCAGATAGTGGTGGAATTACTTGTCGAAGTCCGATGAACGGTGAGGATGCTATCCGTGCGGTTGACTCGCTGTTTGCTTCTGTAAAGAATGCCGATATTCGTCAAAAATTGGGAAAACCCCATACCAATGCCGGCGAGATCTTACCCGCTGGAGTGGACTCTCTGATTAACTCAATTGGGGACATCGACGACCAAGATATTTTTCTGGATGTTGGATGTGGGCTTGGTAACGTGTTGGTGCAATTTGCGTTGCAGACATTGGTGTCGAAGTGCTATGGCATCGAGGTGAGAGAAGAGGTGTTGATTCACGGATTGCAGCTAATGGATGAGACACCGTCACTTCGTGATTATTGCGGAAAGGTTGCAATAGTGTGTGCAGAGGCCAGTACCATACAGCTGGCATTTGAGCGACCTTACCTCACTTCGAAAAGACAGGGCCTGTCGCAGTAGTTTGAATCTTTTGAGAGGCATCACAAGTTCGAGGTCAACACCAACAAACCCAAAAAAAATCCCGTCTTCGGCCTGCCTCCCCCAATAATATGCGTACTCTCCTTTCACTGTCACTTCCATATAGAATAGAATACCG